TCCTTCTGGACAAAGCGGCTGTGTTGGTTATCCAGATTCTCCAGCAGGACCTGGAACAGCACCATAGCAAAGTCATGTTCTCGGGCTGCTCTTTGCCTATAGAAAAAAAGGAAATGAAAAACAGAAGTATTTTACAAACAGGGCATTTCACTCTAATCCTTGAATTATATAATGCTGGTTGAATAATATCACTGCTGCCTTACCAATCCTGCTTCTCTATCCAGACAGAGAGGTAGTGCCGCACATCCATAGGAAAATCATCCCTGTCATAGAGCTCATGTAACTGCTGCGTGTACGCATCAGATAGCTCTGTCAGTTTATCCCACTGAGCCATCCTAACCCTTGTTAACAAGGGAACACAAAGAGTAAACCATTTTCAAGAATGTTAGTAGTATTAATGGTAGTTTTGTATTAATTTAGTGATTTATTTTTATCTTCCGAAGTAAGGCATTAAAATAAATCGAAAACAAACAAAAAATTGACCAAGAAGGTGTGGATTGAAGTTGAAGGTATGCTTACCAATCCTTTAAACATTCACATTCTATTAGTCAACCCTTTCATGACTAGGTTTACAAAAACGGGTTCCCAATTGTTTAATACACAATATGTATGACTCAGTTGTTTGTGTGTTTGCCACGTTGTTTTTAATTTGAAAAGTTACCTACCATTATTTATTCAATGTCACATCCATTCCACACGTTAACCCCTTTGAAAGATTTGCATGTGCATGTATCTCTGTCAAATAGATGTATCTAATCCTGAGTTGCTTTCTAAACCTATTTCCTTAAACACAAACGGTCTCTTTCATTTCAAACCACTGAATACAGCTAGGAAACTATTGTGTCGCTCTTTGTACAGTATAAAACGCTCAACGTTAGATCATAAAAAATTTAAGCATGTAAGTTATTACATGGTGCGATGACAGCTTTGTAACAATCCGATCTATTAGTTATATCATCAACAGTTGAAGGAAGCTGGAGCAAAGTGCAAACAGGGACAACCTGTGACTGCTTATTATGTAAGTTACTTTTGTATGACATGACTTCGTATTGTGTTATGCAGTTGAGACTCAGTATACTGTATTTGCATGTTATGCTTGTCTTTGACTATCCGTCTACAGCCTAGATATGTTCTATTATTAGTAACAACGTATTTACTCACCTTGTTTTATGCTGTCAGTCCGAGACCAGTTATAAATGTCTTAGTAAATAGCTAGCATTTAAGACAGGCGCATTACTATAGTTTTAACGGTTGGCTAAGTCTTGTTTCTAGCTTTAACTGCTATCCGTTGTTAGACGCTGGTAAAACAAAAACAATTTCCGACAAAACGCAGGAGCGTGAATGTTATTTCCTTAAACACTTTTTTTTTTGTATTTCCATTTCATTGGATACCTAGTAATCCCTCCCAATTGGTTCTTCTTATTCTAAGAGTGGGCACCATTTTGGCTCTGACATCACTGCTGTTCAGTCATTGAAGATCCGAAATGTCCGGAACCGCTAGCACAGTTTCCTAGTGGGTTCAGAACTAACAGCTTATTGGTCGAGCCGGACACAGCAAAGCACGCGCTGTTGGTACGCTTTCCACGTCAATCAGTAGCGAGGGAAGTGACGCTGAGCAAAATAGAAACTTATGCCTTGTATCAAGATTTCCCGAGAAATTAGGTTGTGATGTGATTAAGCGAGCATGTGACGCATGGGTACAAAAAAGAAAAGAAAACACGTTCTGTTTATGCATTCACAGGACACAATAAAAGAAGGTGAAATGTTAAATAAAGTGACAATAATGATAACATAATTAATACATTATTTAAAGGAATTTAATGTAATGCCAAGTTCAATAAAACATTATGAGGTGTAATGAAAACAAAGCCATGTTTCATCATTTTCACCACTATTTTTTCTCTTTCACATTCATTTCTACCCCTCTACCCTTTTTCAATTCACATAATAATAATAATAATGAGCGCTTTTACAGGTGCTCAAATACGCTTTACAGATTGTGGGAGTGAGTTCCAGAGGGAGGGGGCAGCGACGGAGAAGGCTCTGTCCCCCCAGGTCCGGTGATTGGTGCGGGATGGATGGATGGTCTGTTTGTGGCATGGTTGTGGCATATACTTNAAATTATCATTTATATTCAATTTTACTTGGAATAGCCTACTTGGTTTGCTAGGCCTATGTTTAGCCTACTATCATAGATATAGCACGTTTGTTTATTTTTAGCAAACCAAGTAGGCTATTCCAAGTAAAATTGAATATAAATGATAATTTATTATCTTTTTGAAAAATAGAGATCGCACATCAGTCCTGTGATAGTCCAGCGACATTTTACACGATAAATACGAGTTTAAATATCAGCATTTGCCACGGAAGGCGAGTGGCAGCTACCGTAAAACTTCTCTTAACTCTGGCATCTTGTGGCAACTCCCGTTCAGCATGCGCAAATGCCACGGCAAGTTGTGGCATATACTTGCCACGGCAAGTTGTGGCATCTGTGTCATTTGTGGCATCTGCAGGCAGTGGCAAGTACTTCCGGCATCTGCCACAGAGGCCGCTACTCCGTGGTATCTGTGGCAAGTATATGCCACAGATGTGGTATCTGTGGCAAGTATATGCCACAGATGTGGTATCTGTGACAAGTATATGCCACAGATGCCACAACTTGCCTTGGCAATTATATGCCACAACCATGCCACAACTTGCCGTGGCAAGTATATGCCACAAGTTAAGAGAAGGTTTATGGTAGCTGCCACTCGCCTTCCGTGGCAAATGCTGATATTTAAACCCGTATTTATCGCGTCGTTCTGTCAAGAACTCGAACAATATAAATTGTTCGCCAGTTTCAAAACGCAATAAAAGGGTGAATAAAAAAGCATGCATTGTGTCTTGATTTTTAATATACTGTCATGATTGTCTTAACGGAATAACATGGTTTGTTTAGATTCACTGATATCAATATCTAATAAGAATAATCTGAAGCATTTAAATAAAAATGTTCAACCAGAATTAAAATATTAAACAACAAAACAGATACAATGACATTAATCTGTTTATTAACAAACAATCAAATATAACTGTCCTTTGCCTCATTTATAAAAATATAAATCTTAGCATCTCACTAGCAGTGGCAACTGCAATCAGTTACAGCTGCCCTAAGTCTGTAGCCAAGTCTAACAACACCATTGTACACGTTGCTGTGTCAATACAGATATTTATTTTTTAATTAATTACAATATAGGCCTATGTTTAGCCTACTATCATAGATATAGCACGTTTGTTTATTTTAGCAAACCAAGTAGGCTATTCCAAGTAAAATTGAATATAAATGATAATTTATTATCTTTTTGAAAAATAGAGATCGCACATCAGTCCTGTGATAGTCCAGCGACATTTTACACGATAAATACGAGTTTAAATATCAGCATTTGCCACGGAAGGCGAGTGGCAGCTACCGTAAAACTTCTCTTAACTCTGGCATCTTGTGGCAACTCCCGTTCAGCATGCGCAAATGCCACGGCAAGTTGTGGCATATACTTGCCACGGCAAGTTGTGGCATATATAAGTTGTGGCATATACTTGCCACGGCAAGTTGTGGCATCTGTGGCATATACTTGCCACAGATACCACATCTGTGGCATATACTTGCCACAGATACCACGGAGTAGCAGCCTCCGTGGCAGATGCCGGAAGTACTTGCCACTGCCCGCAGATGCCACGAAATGCGCTTGCTGTCTCTCAAAGTTTGTCTGATATTTATGATATCAGTAATCAAAGCTTGCTTAGTCTATGCATGACGAGGCGTGTCAAATCGAGTTGAATTATAGTCAGGGGTGCACATACCTTTTAGTGAGTTACTCAGATGAGTACCAGGAGAGAGCGTTTGGTACTCACCCCACACGAAGCGTGGTTTTAATAAGAGCAGTCTTCCTCACTGTCCTCATCAGTGTCCTCTCGTTCCTCTTCTTGCATGGTAGATGGTGAAAATGCTGCAGATGCACCTCCCTGTCTCTGTTTAAGCCTCCGATTTGCTTTCTGCAAAACGTGTTGCCTTAACTGTGAAGTCCTTGCAATCCCTGAGGCCAAGTTGAAGGATCAAATACTAAGAAATTATCACATGACTTGAAGTCATATCTGATTTCAGATGTGGGAAGTAACTAAGTACACTTACTCAAGTACTGTACTTAGGTATCATTTTGAGATACTTGTACAGTACTTTACTTGAGTATTTCTATGTTATGCTACTTCTACTACAGTTCAGAGGTAAATTGTGTATTTTTACTCCACTACAATTATGTAATACCTTTAGTTACTTTAGAAATTTGGATTAATGATGTGAAATATAATGAAGTCTTAATATACTAACCTGCAGTATACAAAGTCATTAAAACTAGCTGCACCTTTACCAGCTTTGAGAACACTTTAATGATCAATCATTATAAAACATATCATATATTTTATTATTCTGAAATTGACCAATTTGCAAAATGATTACTTTGACTCTTGGTACTTTAACTATATTTTGATGATAATACCTTTCTACTTTTACTTGAGTCACATTTTTAATGCAGGACTTTTAGTAAAAGTAGACACTTTTTAGTGTTTTTTACACAAATATGTCTCAACCTCTACTCCAGATCATGACATGTGCCACTGCCAGGTAGTATACGATTGATGATTGTAATTTGGCTTTGTCCGTTATAAATGCTTTGACACTATTTAAACATGCTTAAACAAGCACACTCCACCCACATGTCAAACCCAAGGCTAAATCACCAGAAAACGTTATCATGAGTCATGTATAATCAGCGCATCAAAGGCAATACGTGGATGAAACACAGTCATACAGTAGGTTCCTTAAATACTGAAATTACTTAGGCATGTTTTTTGTATAGGAATATCCTGTGCTGATGTTGTAATTTGGTGGTTTCTCATAGTCACAGATAAAACTAGTGGTGGTGAAATATTGGCTAACTCAACAGTCTGTATCCAACCATGGATTGTTTATTACAAAATGTAATTTATTCCATACAAGACATACAAGACATAAACATACATTTTATATGGATATTATGAAGTAAATGTAGCCTGGAATGTTGGCAATGCACGTAAATGCATTATAGGAAACACATTTAAAACGTGATTGTTCCTTAATGACAGCTATTTATATCAGGAGGAGAAACATCTGGCAAATTTGAGCTCACAGAGTTTAGAATCTCAGCGTTGACCTCCAGGTCCAAAGGCAGGAAAAAGGTGAGGCAGCCCTGGTGAGCAGCACGTGGTAGGCCTGTCGAAACTGTCTGTTCATGACGGCATAAAGCACAGGGTTGATACAGCTATTGAGCCAGGTGAGGTTTGCACAGAACATGTGCAGTACTTGAGGGGCGCGGTTCTGTTTGTCAGCTATGTTGAGCAACAGGAAGGGGACAAAGCAGAAGACAAAACACAAAAAAACAGTAAAGCACATGCGTGTCACCCGCTTAAATTCATCAGCATCTCCTGAAGTTGCTGAGTTGGAGGAGGGTGCTGCATTGGCGGGAGCAGGTCTGGTTGAAGGTGATGTTTTGACAGTATCAAGGGGTTGCTTAGTTACTGATGGATCTAGAGCCGTCACTTGGGTAGATTTGGAAGGTTTTTCACAGGTGATCTCATCTGTATTTTGAGTTAGATCCGCCTGGCTGCTCATCTCGCAGCTACATGTCTTTGCCATGCCACTTTCTACACCACTGTCATCGGTCCCTTGTGTCGAAGAAGCTGGTTTCTTCCTGGAGGATCTGCGGCTGAATCTGTATCGAAGCAACGATTGAGACGCAATCCTGACACGTCTGTAAATAAGGAGGTAGAAAACACCAACAATGCCCAGCCCAATGAAAAAGTAAAAAAAGAGCAAGATGGTACTGTAGGGACGACCCCTGGTGCGATGGAAACTGCATGTGCACACCTGTGGCACAAATACGTAAACAGGCCAGAGTGGGCCAAAGCTGGCCAAACCCAGTGCCCACGTTGAGATCAGTAGTAAAATAAGACCACGGCTAGAGAAGACACGATCAAACAAAGCCCTTTTTGCCACCAGAAGATATCGGCTCACAGCAACTAGGCAGAGGGTGATAATGGATACAGAGTTGGAGAGGAAGAGGAGCAGGCCGAAGATGCTGCACCAGAGCTCACCACTGCGCCATTTGAGGTGTAGATAGGAGTCGACTGATATGGGCTGCAGTATGGTGCAGTATAGGAGATCAGCTACAGCCAGGTTGAGGATGAGCACGTTGAAGCGAGTCCTCAGACGTGGGTCTAGAGCAAAGGCCAGAATGGTCATCAGGTTCCCCACCGTACCAACGAGGGTCACCGTACATCCCCACAGCACGGCAAAGTACCGGTAGCCCACGACTGAAGGACTGTAGCAGGAGAAGAGGTCCTCCTCTGTTTGGTTTGTGTAGTTCATCAGCATGCTGTCAACCAACAAGATTCAGAATACAGGTAAGCTTTTGTGTAGTGTGCCTACAGAAAGTTACACTCAAACAGAAACCAAGTTGTCCCCACCCCTCTTTGAAAAAACAAAAAGGAACTCACAGGTCGTTACTGTGGTTCACGACTTCCTTTCAACAAACTTCTCTTTCAAACCTTTGTTTGCAATCCTCATTAAGGTTATTATTATTGTTATGATATTCGATATTACTGAGCAAAAATGATATTTTCAAAGTTGGTTTTCTGCAGTTTTAGGATAATAGAACTTCATTTAATTTACGACTGCTGTGGTTTACTGACCTAAAACCAATGGTAGATCAGTAATACTCAGTTATTTGAAGAATTACTGCATTTAAATGTTGTAAAAGTCCTGCATTTATTATAGAATCATAATATGATATATTATTGGATTGGAATCATTGATGCACTAATGTTTAATTACTTTAATGACGCAGCTGGGAAAGGTGAAGCTTATATTCAAGTTTATTATAATTATTTGATATATTGCTCAGTAACTTCATATAATATGACATCATGTATAAGGTGATTTATAATGTGTATCAATAAGCTGAATCTGCAAAGTTACAAGTTATTAAAACTGTCAAATAAATGCAGTGAAGTGTTTCTCTCTGGTATTAAGTCAAAGTATAAAATAGCCCTTAATGAATGTATAAATAATAAACAATACAATAATACAATGGTCCTGCATTTAACAGTTACTCAAAAGCCCCGTAATTATTTGATATATATTATTATCCTCTTAGACTATGTTCAAATCACTGCGGTCAATTCTGCACATAACTCAAATAATAAAACATACCATACAAAAAAGCAAGAATTAACAACATTGATAAAACAAACAATAACAAATATTTTAAGATATTTTAAATAAATGTATAGATTTATAAAAAATGTATATTGTAAAGCCTCTTATTATAACATATCATTTTTCAGGTCTTACCTTAAAGCAGAAGATGTGGCCAGTCTTCTAATTGTGTGTGTGTGTCATTCTCTGCTGTAATCTGGGGCTCTGAATGTCAGGCTTCCTGCTGGTGTTACATTTTATGTGCATCCTCTGTGTTGCCTAATAACCATCTACCCTCTATTGCACGGTATGAGGTAAGGTTTTTCCAGTTCATAGCTATATTGGGGAAGAGAAAGTTTGCATATTTGCTAAACATCATTTTCATCAGAATGGAATAACCATACTGCATCTAAGTCACTTAAACCTAGGGACTGTATATATATACTGTATGTATATATATATGGAAAGTACTTATTGTCTGCAATTGCAATGATAAATTAGTGATGGACATATGAGACTATAAAGGCTTTAATACACAGTTTGACAATTTTTCTGATTCACATAGACATTTATGTCAAACAGTGGTGGACCAATCTATACCGAACCAAGTGTGAACATCTAGCCATACGGCAAATACCAAACAAGTAATTTAATGTCAGTGACTTTTTCCGTTTAAGCCACAAAAACAGAACTCAGGTTTTGCTATAATGCTGCTACTCAGTTGTATTGAGATGACTGTGTTTTTGTGATGGCTTGATGTGATAAACACAATGTTTGGCGTAGTTGATATTGTATTAATAAACCTTTACACCCACTCATATCCTATAATTAACCTGCAATTCTCTCCACCAAGTGAAAGTAATGGAAAAGGGGAAGTAAGTACCCAATAACTGTTAATATAGAAGTTAAGACATCTTAAGAGCCACAGTATGGTTGGGGATTTCCTAAATGAATTGTAATTGTGGACATCAGTAATGTAGACTCCAATTCTTGCAACTTGTCTTTTGTTTAAGAATAATACAAGAAACATGACTTCAACATCCAGGAGTTTTGGGTGACAGTGATCATGTTGAGAAACAGGAAGGGGTAAAAACAACACACAACAAACAGGAAAATGCTTAAACATGTGTCACACATTTTATTTTGTTTCTCATCCCCTAAGTCTGAGTAAACCAACAGGTTTGCGATGGTGGGAGCAGGTGTTGTTCAATGTGTTGTTTGAACAATATCAGGGTAACTTTGGAGGGTTCTTCAGAGGTGATGTCTTGTGCTGAAGAAGCTGCTTTCTTTCTTTAGGCCACGAAACACTTTAGCAGGAGAAGAGGTCAACCTCTTTTTGGTTTGTGTGGTTCATTAGTATTTTGTCAAGCAACAAAAGTCATAATATAGGTTAGCTTCTTTGTAGTGTGCTTATGGAAAGTTAAACTCAGACAGAATCACAGCCCATTTTTGAGTGTTCCAGGTGAAAGCAAACTCAGGTTGTTGCAATAGTTTACCGCTTCCTTTTGAACAGACATCTCTCTCTGAAAGAAACCTTTGTTTTCAATCCTCATTATGTCTTTTTTGTAAGTTCTGGCATAGCTCAAGAATAGCTTTTTACATTTATCGCACAAAATGTAACTGCACGATAACATATTTCAGGTGTTACCAATTGTGTCAGTTCACATACATATTAGTAATCTCCTAATACTTTGTGTAAATGATAAACAAGAATAAAGGTATGTTGGGTCAGAAGGGCGTCGGAAGTAGGGGCTCCAAGGGGTTCCAAGTGGCTCCAAGGGGCCGCAACTTACCCTTTCCTACATTTCGAACAAGAGTGTACTGTATAAAGGGAACGATTTCAAAAATTCCACAAGCTTTGATACTTGCTGTACTTTTGTGTGAAAATGACCACGGCTGGGTTAATAAACAATCAATATATTTACAAATGATACTGTTGGTAAGATCTAATGTTTTGCACTTTGGCGCTCTGACAGTTCCATGATCATCAAATGTAATTTATATTACAACTGTTGTTCGGCAAAAACATATCAAATATTTCGGACTGTATGTAAAAAAAGTGACTTGAAATAAGTAGTATTCGATTATCCCGTTACTAAACTACTTGTACAACCAAATACATTAGTGATTTATTGTTATAGTCATATCTCATTACATTTAAAAAACTGAAAATAATTCAAACAAATCAACATTGCTTACAATGGTAAACTCAGTTTATTGATTTGATATAGAATTTAGTTTAGTTAACAACAAGTTAACAATTAGGAAGCCCCAACATGTACCTTTTTCATATGTTTTCAATAATCTACAGTTACACTATATGTTTTAATACACTTGTCCTAAATAACAATTCATACATTTGAAGACAATAGTCTTTTTATTGCAGTTAACAAGAAAAGTTAGCAGGAGTGCTTAAAGTATTGCTACTGTTTCCTAAAACGTCCCTCTAATGTTTCACAAACCATCATGATAGTTTCACAGGGATAGATCGGGCTCATGTAGGGTCGGAGCGCACAAGGCAGAGCAGAAAAACGAACAAATGTTAACCCACTACAAGCCTATAATACTAGCCAAAATGTTGTGTTGTTTTTTGCATACAACTACTCAGCTGTGTATGTGGCCCTTTTCCGTCTGTAACATATATCTGGTGTCCTTCATCCCCCTTGTTTTGGTGAAAATGTTGTAATTAAATGTGCATATATTGCAAAGACCTGCTACTAAAGTTATTCATCAACCATGTTCCTCCTTTGCTCACAGTGTTGAAACGATCTGATTGAGACACTTCAAACTGTCTGTGATGCGTAGTGTGGTGAAAAAAAACATATTGTCATTTTGTGTGAATTTCAGCTGTTTACATTGAGAACATTCAACACGTACGTGCTTTGTTGGATTTTATGCACATGGTTGTCAGTGGCCATTTAGGGAGAACATGGAGAATCATCTGGAGAGACTGTTACATTGTTGCCTTCACTAAAGAAACTAATAGCATAGGTTTAGCTTCTTTTCTCCAAACTTACTGCATTTCACACTGACACTGACACTGATATCTGCATATTGCACATGTTTACTACAACTACGCTTCCCAAAATGTAAATGGGGTTGACATACACATCAGTACAGTTTTAAGACATAATGTAAATTCTTCCCTTTTTCTGTTACTCTTTTACTTCCTGTTTCTGTTCTTAAGAGGTTAATATACACCACCTGGGACGGCTATGAAAATGTAGACGTACAGTACAGACAAATGTTTACCAGTAACTGCAGCAACAATATGGAAATGATTGGTACCTTTTTGTCTTAACAGGCCACAAGTCAGAACTCTACAGTGGTATATTCTACTATACTGTGACAGCTACTTTATGATACCAGCTAACATCAGACGCAATGACTATATCTAACCCAGCGGGCATGTTTCTGACAACAATGATGCTTTGGATATGTGATGAATTCTTGCAAAGATTAAAGTGAAAAACATAGGAGAGGTAGGGTTTTGAGACGGATACAGTGGATCATATGTCAGATGAAGATAATGATTTGGTTGCAGATTATCCAGACTCTACTTGATGATTGGCAGATAGTTGATTGATGAAGGAAACTGGGGAGGATGGAAACATACAGACTCATGTCTCTGGTTCTCCCTGCTAACGTAACAGCAGCCGTCTGCAACCGCAGAATGCAACATTAAGAGTCATATTTATGTCCGCTGTTTTCATTCTATTGAAACAGCAGCTGCAGCCACAGCAGCTGATTGGCTCTTGATGACACAGGGTTGCAGGCCTCCACTTCACAGTGTGCTTCTTCCTCATTCTACCCCGTTCAATCACCGTCAGTAAGGAGTGAACAGGATTGGCCCATGCGTGGTGCGCATGGGGCCAGGGGCGGGTCTCAGCAGGCTGAGGGGGTTCCCTGTAAGAGGTGGTGGTGGGGTGGTTGGTGGGAGGTTGGGCAAGGGGGACGTAGTGCCAGCTGATTGGAGGAGACTGCGGCTGCCATCGCTGCAGCCAAAGCCAGGGGATTTGGTAAAAGTCCAGCCCCCATTGATTTTGGAAGTTCCTTAAAAAAGGTAATGGG